CTCATATACAACAAAGCAATTTTCTAACTATAACTAAAATCTATCTTATAAATAAATCTTTTTATTTATTTATTTTAGTTTATCAAACCAAAAAAGAAAAGCTCAAACTTCATATAGTATCAATTAAAATTAATTATCAGAACAAAAAATCATAATACACTTATTGATATCTACTTTGACGTGGTATTTATTTTTGACTAGATAGTTTCTACATCTCATTTTCTATAAAAATTTGTACATACTTAAATTGGACTGTATGTTTATTGTGTGTTATTATTGGTGAGAATATATTATTTAATTAACCAGATTTATTTAAAAATTTATGAGATAAAATTTCTGAAATTTTATTTTATTTCACTTTAAAATCTCAACCTCACTTTTTTATTTTTTTATTTTTTTAATAGTAAGAAAGAAATATCCTAAATACATTGGAAGAGACATTTGACGGACAAAAGGAGAGAGAGAGAGAGAGAGAGAGAGAGCAATCCAGTCCACGGTTGAGAGTCTACGGTAGGGTATGAAAGACTCATAGGACTATATATATACATATACATACTTCCATTGCATTGCTGCATGTCTAAACAAATATAAAATTATTTTTTCTTTCTTAAAAAATAAATTTCCTGTAAGTGAGATTAACAATAATTAATAATTAATAATTAATAATAATAATATTATTATTATTATATTAATGCAGTCGAGGACAGACAGGAGGAGTGTGTACCTCTTTTTAGCTTTGACTGAAGAAAGAAGCCTCTAACCCCCCTCTTCCACCTTTCGGCGCTCTCTCTCTCTCTTTTTCTCCTCATTCTCTTCGTCGTCTTTGTCTCCGTCTTCTTCTTCTCCTTCTCTTTCTATTTGTTCTCCACGCATTGTCTTTTTTTTCTCTTTCTCTTTCCCTTTCCATCTCCATCTTTCTTTCTCTCTCTCTCTCTCTCTCTCTCTCCCCCTGAATTTATATATATATATATGCACTCCAATTATATATTTATATTAAACAACAGGAATTACAATAAACTGTTATTTCCACACTGAGCAACTATCCAGGAAACAGCTAAATCTGCCTCCAAATATATTCACTCCGTACCTCACTGGACACTTGGTTATTTATCAGGTAATTCGTATTAATCTTTTCTTTTTTCTCTTTCTATTTCCTAAATTTCCTTTTTCCAGATCTTTCTTTTCTTTTTAGTTTTTGTTTTTTTGCTTTAATTTTGTTGGGGGATCTTTGCGTTGCCCTTACGGTGGCAGATCAAGTCAATTTTCTCTATTTTTTGTCACTTTTTTTTTTTCTTTCTCCGGAGTTAGATATAGGCATTTCGTTTCTCATTTTAGATGTTTTTCAATCTTTTGTTTCAGTTTCTTCTTGCTACTTACTGGAAATTTGTTGCTCTGGTGGTAAATGTGCATGATTTTGCGACTAGATGTTTTTCTTTTTCTTATTCTTTCTTAAACGCTAAAGTGACGGATTGCGAGTTGAAGTTGCTTATGGATTTCTAATTATCATGAACTATAAATCTTCAATTCGTAAATTGTAGCCCGGTTCGATATTGTTCATCAAGAGTCATGTTCGTTGAGTATGTAATTTGCCACAGAAGGTGTCAACTGTGTTGCACTAGAAATAGGATGCATTACATAATATGCATAGGATGGTAATGTGGCTCTGGTTATTAATTTAGGGAGATGCATTTTGCACTCTTTTCATTTACAATAGCACTTGTTTTTTTCTTACTTGTAACGCATAACAGTTTTGTGTGGAAATCGTGGTCTAATTTACTGCCGATTAACTGTCTTTACAGACTGTGTCTTCATTGGCTGATGTCTTTCCAGTAAGCTTGGCTTTCCTTAAAGTAATGACCTTTCCAGTAAGCTTACCTTTTATGGCTTTTTATGTCCAACTTGTTTCTACCATATACCCTTTTTTGTCCACAATTGATGAATTGATAATTACGTATTTAACCCATCCATAACAGCAGATCTCATGAATATTCTATTCTATATAGGAGCATTGCTCTAAAATCGACAAAGTGCCATTAAAGATGAGTGCATTATTGTTAGAGCTTAACTGCTTTAAAGACAAAGGGGAAGACCTCATGGCTGCAGCTCTCGTATTGCACTTGTATTTTACTTGTTTGATTAGGTTTTTGATTCTTTGCATGTTTAACAATGGTTCTGTCATTTATCCTATGATTTATGGTTTCTCTTCAGCCATAACCTTGTAGAAGAATGAGAGTACTGAACCTGTTCATAACATTTGCAAGTACTCATTTAATTTGAAAGCACTAGCAGAAAAAAAAGTTTCTCATCTAGGTTTTTTACTGGGTTTGTAGACAGATCAACTAAGCCACATTATGAGCGGAAGTCAGAGAAGAAAGTCAAAGACTTCTACGATATTTCTGGAGCTTGATTTGGGCATCTTCTATGCTGTCTAGTGTTGTAGCAAATATGGGCTTACTCTGCAGCAGACATCATCACTATAATGACACAGATGCTGAAGAGAATGCACAGGTGAATCATGGTGGACGAAGTTTCTAGTTCTATGCTGCATATTTGAATGCTACAGGATATAATTTTCATGATTCTATGTTAAAATTTTTTTTTTTTGGTCTTATCTGTATTGCATCTTTTACTTGATATATAATGTATCAATCTAACGATCAATGCATGCATTTCCAGGCTGTAGAAATTGAAAGGCGAATTGAACAAGAAACAAAGGCTGAAAAGCATATTCAGAAACTTCTACTGCTTGGTACGTGCAACTCAGACTGTGATTCTTACTAACCTATTCAATACTTTATGATAGCCTGTTAACTTTCCAGTTAATGTTTGTAAACTTCTAAAGTCGTGCTTGGATGATTGGTGGTAGTATAGGTTATCATGCATGCTTTATTTTGCATTGTCTTCATAATTTAGGGGATAAGAAATTTTTTCTTACCTACGTGGGCCTCCCTCACTTTCACGACATACAAGTGAAATCTTCATAAAGTGCGGGTTTTTTGAAGTTTTGATCTATATTTTGTTTGCCATTCAAGTGAAGTCTTTCATGACATACAATTGAACTGAAACCTAAAAAATGAGTCCCTCAGTTATTTGTCAGCAGTTGTATACTTAAAGATATTTCCTGGTGACATGGTTGGAGAAATTTGATGGAAGTTTTAATTTTTGATTCTAATTTGTTAAAGAGAGGTAAGTTAGATTGAAGGGTATAAGGTAAATTACTCTTTCGTAATTAACTGTTTATTTCCTTTCCTATTCTAAAAACCTGTATACATATTAAACTATTATTAACATGGTATATGAGTTTTAGGTTAAGAAATTTTAAACTCTTTTACAAATTCTATTCGACATTCATTATCGAAATAAGAAGACCCCAGAGGGGCCAACCTTCATTACTAGCCACCACAGCCCGACCACCTCTACCACAAGCCAACATCATAGCTGGTCAACTCCATCAAGTCCAACCTTCATTGTCAGATCTAGTTTGACACAGCTGCCATGCACAGTTCTCTCGGTCGCCTTCATCATACTTGAGCTAACTAGACGAGTTGCACCACCAGACGCGACATTGCTCTTTGTCGAGTTGGGACCAGACGCGACTCGCAGATGCAGCACCATCTCTCCATCCTAGAAATAGTCTTGACACCATTCGTCGCGCAACTCTAGCTCGTAAGATGTGATACTGTTGGTAAGGATTTCATGCTAAGTAGAATATTATATTAGTTAGAGTTTAATACTATAATTATATCCTATAATTAAAGTTCAACTAGAATAAGGATAACTAGTTTATATATATATTTTAAATGTAAACAAAATATAAGTAATAAAAATTAAAAATTTATCTTCTCCAAAAAACTTCATGGTATTAGAGCTAAAGGAAGGCTATTTTAGGATTTTGAAAAAATGCTAAAATAAGCAAAATAGGCCAAAGTTGGTACTCAACTACTAAAGAAACCAAACCCAACATCACCTAGACGGAGTCACTGCTCAACGCCGACCAGAACAACCACAGTTTCTGTGCGTGTCCATCACACACGCTGCTGGCTTCATCCCATTCGGCCTGAAAAACGGTGGAATATCGCCATAAAAGCCCGATTGAGACAAATCTGGTTCCTTTCTGCACAAAATCCAGCTTGATCGCGATTATCCGACCTTTTTTTTCACACGGCTACGCACGTTTTGAAGATCTGCTGTTTTGTCCCTCTGCCGCTCCAATCTAGTCGATTTGTGTCTGGAGACGATTCGACTGATCCTCCTGCACACCACGCCACACTGCACCGGTGGCGCACTGAGTCGCGCTGCATTGATTGGACGGAGCCCCTCCTTTGTGCCAGTCCATTTTTTCGGTGCACGGGACATCTGGTGTGGCCATTTCACGCGCCAGACCACTCTGACCTTCGATGTTCGTGCCTGAGCAGAGCTGTCCACGTCTGAGTCGGTGCTAAGCCGAGCCGAGCTAGATCTGGTTTCGATTTTTTTGGTCATTTTTTTTGTTTTTTTGTTCATTTTTTGGCTTTTTGGTGCAGATAAGAGGTCCATTTTTTATTATTGAGTATTTTTTCTTTTTATTTTTAGCATTGTGAGATAACAGAAGCAAAAAAGGTGAGTGTTACTAGTTTTGATAATTTTTCATTACAAATCAATCCCGTAAAACTTGATGGAACCAATTATTTTACTTGGTCGAGATCTTATTTATTGTTATTCAAATCTAGAGGATTGTAGGGTCATATTACTAGTGAGATGAAGAAACCAGATGTTGATAGTTTACAATATAATAAATGAGACTCTGAGAGCTCATTGGTAATGTCATGTCTCATAAATTTTATGCAACCCCATATTGCCAGAATATATCTGTTGCTTCACACTGCTGAAAAAATATAGAATGCAATATCTCTTGCATATTCACAGATCGGTAATGACACCCAAATTTATGAACTCCGAAATAAAGTTCATGGCACAAAGTAAGGAGAGATGATTATTTCTCAATATTTTTCTGAACTGAATGGAATATGATAAAAATTAGATCACTATTAAGATTTTCAAGTAGAGTGTTCTGCAGATGCTATCAAATTTCAGAAATTGATAGAAAAACAACGAATTTATAATTTTTTAGTTGGTCTGAACACCGAAATAATCAAATACGGGTCCAAGTGCTTGGTAAGGATCCATTTCCTTCATTAGAACAAACTTATATTTATGTTCAGTAAGAAAAGAGTAGAAAAAATGTCATACTTCACATTGCACCAGTTGAGAAGGTTGGATTAGTTGCTTAGTCTGATCAATCCAGAGATATATGAAAGTGTGACTATTGTGGTAAGGCAAGACACATTAAAGAAACTTGTTGGAAGTTGTATGAAAGACCAATTAGAGGTCAGGGAGGAAAAGAAGGTGGAACCACAAGATCTCAAACAAATTTTGTTGAAATTAGGGAAATAATTGATTCACCATCCGTTAGAGCCTTTTCCACAGAGGAAATTCAAAATCTGAAGCGCCTTTTGAGTCAACTTAACTTTCCATCAACTGTTGGTACATCAAATATGGTAAAATCAGGTATTGTTCATCCTATTTCTATTCATGGTAACTGGATCATAGACTCTGGAGCAAATAGACATATGACAAACTCTTCTAAAAAATTCTTAATCTATTCTTCTTGTACTGAAGGGGATAATGTCCGTATAGCAGATGGTCATACACCCCTGTGTCAGGAACAAATTCCATTAATTGTATTCCTATTATTACATTGTTTTCAATTTTACATGTGCTTAGTTTTTCTGACAATCTTTTATCTATTAGTGCCATAACTAGAGATCTCAACTGTAAAATTAAATTTTTTCATAATCATTGCAACTTTCAGAATTTTCAAATCGGGAAGAGTATTGGCATTGGTAGATTGCAAGATGGCTTATATGTCTTGGATAAACATTTGAATTTAATTGGAAATCAAGTAACCATTAGGCATAAAGAAATCAATATGGAAATACTGCAATGACATCGACGATTGTGGCATTCTTCATTTTTTATTTTTAAAAAATTATATCCTAAATTATTTAAAAAAACTTTTATGGAATTTTTGTTTTGTGATGCATACAAACTTGCTAAATATAAGAACTCTTATCATTTAAGTAATAATAGAAGTACTGATCTTTTTATAACTATTCACTTTGATGTTTGGGGACTTACTTAGAATACCTCTTTTTCTGCCATTATATAGTTTGTTACTTTTATTAACTGTTGTATTAGATTAACATGGATTTATTTGTTAAAAATAAAAGGTGATGTATTTTCATGTTTTCAATTTTTTCATAAAATGATATGTTGACAGTTTGGTGCTAAAATTAAAATTTTGCGAACTGATAATGGTACAGAATCTATGGATAGTGTTTCCGTGCTTACTTGGAGTCAAATGAAATAATTCATCTGACAGATTGTGCTTACACCAATGAACAAAATGGGTTACTGAAAGAAAAAATAAGCACATATTAGAGATAGCTCGGTCACTAATGTTCATTATGAATCTACCAAAAAGTTATTGAAAAGATACAATTCTCTCAACTGTTTATCTTATCAATAGAATGCCTTTACGGGTCCTGAATTTTAAAAGTTCTATGAAGGTTTTGTAAGAAAAAAATTCCTACATTGTTCTCCCAAAAGTGTTTTGATGTGTGTGCTTTGTTCATGCTAGAAATGTGGGTAAGCTAAAACCTATAGCTCTTAAGTGTATATTTTTTAGATATTATTCTACCTAAAAAGGCTACAAGTGTTATCATCTATCATCTAGAAAATTCTTTGTGACTATGGATGTTACCTTTAGGGGAAAAGAGTTTTACTTCAACTCAAACCCAATACCTCTTGAAGGGGAGAGTGAAAAGGGGGAAGTGATACCTAATTGAGAAACAATTGAGAGTCATGTCCAGGGGGAGAATTCTATTGTAGAAAGTTTTAATCAAGAAGATAATGTTGGATGTTTAGATAAATCAGACTTGAAAAAGTATTCAAGGAGAGAGAAGTCTAAAAACGTCATCATGCAGTCTGTTACAGGTCAAGAATCTTCTCTGGTTTCAGAAGATACTGGTGAGTTATTTTTTTCTTGTGATTTATCAGATAAATATATTATTATTAGAAAGGGAACGAGAACTTGCACTAAGTACTCTATATCTAACTTTGTTTCCTATGACTCTCTGTCTCTCTTCTATAGAGTTTTTATCTTGTCTGTTTCTTCTGTGTCTATTCCATAGGATTGGAGAGAAGTTTTAGGAGATCTCAGGTGGAAGAAAGGCATGATTGAAGAAATGAGAGTATTGACAAAGAATGAAATATGAGAACTTGTTTCACCTCCACAAGGAAAAAAGATAGTTGGTTGCAAATGGGTGTTTACTGTAAAACACAAAGCAGACGGATCGATTGAAAAGTACAAAGGTATATTGGTGACTAAAGGATTTACTACAAAGGTATATTAGTGACTGAAGGATTTACTCAGATTTATGGAATTGACTATCAGGAGATATTTGCACCTGTTATAAAGATGAGCACAATTATGATACTTTTGTCTTGTGCAGCTAACCTTAATTGAGATATACAACAGTTTGGTGTAAAAAATGCATTCCTCCATAAAGACTTAGAAAAAGAGGTGTGCATAAAAATTCTATCTGAATTTGAAAATGAGAGGACGTAAAGAAAAGTTTCCCAATTAAAAAAGGACTTATATGGATTGAAGCAGTCTCTAAGAGTATGGTTTGAACGGTTTAGAAGAGT